TAATATGAATTTATTTATTTAAATATGCTTTATTTAAATATGATTTATTTATTTAAATATGTTTTATTTATTCATATTATAATATGACTTGTGAATTACAAGAAGACATATAACCTATAAAGAGGGAAATAGATGCCATCTGACCTTTTGTGAAAAAGTTTGTTAACTTCTATTTTTTGGATTTTTTTATTTTAATTTTTATTAATTATACTTTATTCACTTTATATCCCCCTGTGGCTCCTTCCCTCCTCCCCTCCCAATTCCACCCTCCCTCCCTATTTTCCATACATACCCCTCCCCAAGTCCACTTACAGGGGAGGTCTTCCTCTCCTTCCTTCTGATCCTAGTCTATCAGATCTCATCAGGAATGGCTGCATTGTCATGTTCTATGTCTTGGTAAGGCTGCTCCCCCCTCACGGGGAGGTGATCAAAGAGCAGGCCAATCAGTTCATGTCAGTGACAGTTCCTGTTCCCATTACTATGGAACCCACTTGGACACTGAACTGCCATGGGCAACATCTATGCAAGGGTTCTAGGTTATCTTCATCAATTGTCCTTGGTTGAAGTATCAGTCTCAAAAAAGACCCCTGTGTCCAGATTTTTTGGTTCTGTTGGTCTCCTTGTGGAGCTCCTGGTCTCCAAGTCTTACTATCTTCCACTTTTCTCATGAAATTCCCTGCACTCTGCCCAACAGTTGGCCTTAAGTCTTAGCATCTGCTTTGATACCCTGCAGGACAGAGCCTTTCAGAGGCCCTTTGTGGCATGCTCCTGTACTGTTCCATTTTCTCCTTCTTCTGATGTCCATCCTCTTTGCCTTTCTGTATGGGGTCTGAGCATTTAGCCAGAGTCCTCCTTGTTGATTAGTTTCTTTAGGTGTGCAGATTTTAGTAGGTGTATCCTATATTACATGTTTAATATCCACTTATGAGTGAGTATATACCCTATGTGTCTTTTTGCTTCTGGGATACCTCACTCAGGCTGATCTTTTCCAGTTCCCACCATTTAACTGCAAATTTCATTATTTCCTTGTTTTTTTTATTGCTGAGTAATATTCCATTGTGTAGATATACCACAATTAATCACAGCAACAGAAACTCTAAGACAACCATATCATATGGCAATGTTCTCTTTCAATAAGCTAAATAAAATCGAACCCATGTGGTATAGGGAAATTAATACGTTGAATGTTACCAATTATTTTTCATTGTGAAGAACTGTTGTGCCTGTCCCCATAGTGACTGTGTGGGCCCTAAGCATTTCTCATGACCACAAGCAGCGGTAATGGAGTTCTTGAATCACATGTTTCATGTTCCTTTTAAAATTTGAGGTCATATAGTTTGAAATGCAGTCGTGTGAAAAACAGCTGCCAAAACTAATACTGAAAATTGTATATTGAAACTGTCTACAATAAGCAATGATATTCATATAACTCTTCACATGCTTAGTCTATATTTTAGCTAATGTGTTTAATACACTGCTGAGCACTATTGTTGCTCCTCATGAAGCAAGTCTTTAGTTCTCACAAAAACTATGCACTAGGCAACATCATCATCATCACTATTTTTAAATGTAAAAGGAAACACAAAACAAATAGTTGAGTACGTGATCTGTTCAAGCCAAATAGCCAAATGGTCAGAGCTGGTCTAGATAGTCCACCTGCAGAGCTCATGTTTCTTCATTGTTGTTCTCTGTGAAGTTAATGGCTTGGCATTCTGAGCTCATGAACAGCTTTTTCATTTGCTCTTTTTGTGATGGTATGACATTTCTGGAGTACTTTTCAGGCAATTCCAGTTTTGGCTTATGACAAGGAAACCTTAACAATCCCAGTAGCCAAATTCATTAAACTATAATTAGAAAACATTTTCTAAGATTTATTAGAAAATATTTGTCAAAAAAGTCCTAAGGTATAAGTGGGAGTACATATTTATAACCAAATGTATAATTAATTCTTGAATACCATAGCTTTTAGCTGTCAAATAAGATATGAGTTAATGGAAGTGATCACATTTGACAAGCTGCTACTCTATATACATTATCATACTACATTTTCATTGTTAAAACATCTATTCTGAACCCTAACAAAATATTTGAGTTATTCAAGTCTACTTTGGGTTATAAAATATTGTTTTAGATTTATTTGGTATAAATTACTTTGTGTGAGCCAAGTGGTGTGGTGGAAAGGCCTTTAATCCCAGCATTTCAGAGGCAGGCGGACCTCTGCCTACAAGGCCAGTCTGGTCTACAGAGTAAATTCTGCACGGCTAGGGCTACACAGAGAAACCCTGACTTGAAAACAAGCAAGTAAACAAAACAATTTACTATGGGTGAGCTTTTGTCAATAGTGTTTAGGAATATTTGGAGAAAAATAAATAAATAAGTAAGTAATTCTTAAAAATCTATTTACAACCAATCTTTCTGCTTCTTTGGATCCAGGGTCTGAATTCACTTCAGTGATTAATATTACACATAAAACAACATTAAGGCACTGTGTCATTCTCCTTTGTCCTAGGCAAAATTCTGTTATCATGAAGTGATAGTGGCATTAATTTTTAGGGCAAAATTAGAGTTATAAGACCAAAATTTCTTTTTATTTTTAAGAGTATAAGTTTCTCATTAGAAAATGCAGTAAACTTTAAATTAGTAATATTTATTATTTTACTTGATGTTTATGATTGTTTTGTTTGCACCATGTATATGCTTGGTGCCTGCCAGAAGAGGGTATTGGAGCTGTAATTACAGAAGGTTGTGAACCACCATGTCAGTGCTGGAAACAAACTTGGGTCCTCTACAACAACAGCAAATGTTCTTAACTGCTGAGCTATCTCTGCAGCCTTATTTCTGTTTACTTCAAAAGCTGAGTATTTGCCCAACACTTGTACAAATAGATTAGCATTACTAACACAAGCTGAGGAAGGCAATCACAGCCTATGTTATAGCTGGCAGCCCTCCATCTCAACACAGTAGATATTCAAGCGATGACTGGCTACTCCATGTCTGTCATGTCACCCAGAGCCTAGAATTTAGGACGTATTTAAAAGGAAAAAAGAAAAGGATTACTTTCATCCCAGAATGGCATAAAAAGATTCTTAAGAAGGGCTAGAAGAAAGCAAGCACACTGAGCACATCCGTGTAAATGAGACATACATGTTTTTATTTAATTTTAGAACTTATAATTGGAACAGTGGTTTTCAACCAAGGCAGCTTTGCTAGGGGCATTTGGCAAAATCCAGGAACATTTTTGATTTTCACAACTTGTGTTAAGGGAACTACTGGCCAAGTATGCTGCTAAACATCTTAAATACATAGTATAGCTCCTCATAACAAAATATTATCTGCTCCAAATGCCAGCAGTGCCTAGGTTTAGAAACACCAGACTAGAGGAATAGACTTTGGATAGGTCTAAAATTTAGGCCTACAGGGAAGGCAGTGACTCAGGAAAAATAACTCCTCTAAAAAAATAAATTTTGTATTCCATTTATAAATGAATCCATGTATGCATGCCCTGAGATTGAATTTTGAAGTTAAGTTACCAAAGTTGGCAGCAAGTATATTTACCTACTGAGCCATCTCACTGGTCTAAAAATGATTCTTCTTAACTCTTTCCTTTTATTTTTGAGATTATAACTACATCCTTTCTCTCTTCCCTTTCCTCCTCCTAGTTCTCCCACATACTCTTCCTCCTTGCCCTCTTTCAAATTCATGGCCTCCTTTTCGGTTAGTTTTTATCACATGCATGTATGAATATGCACATACATATATATTCCTAAGAGTCTGTATTATCTGGTAGCTAGATTCTCAGAAATAGAAATGGAGTCAAGTAGACATAAACCTGACTTCCTTCTACAATAAAGGAAAATATGTTTCTTGAATATAAGACCCTCACCCCAGTTAAATATCACTGTTAGATTCCTTCACGGTGATTTGAAGGCTAAGGAGATTTTGTGTTGAGATTAGGATTCCTTCTGTGTGATTCCTGTTTGTATAGCTGTTTTAATATAACGAGTTATATTCTTATTTCACAATGAAGAAACTATAGCCTTTGAATGGATAAGCATCTTCTGAAAATCTTATCAACAACTTACTGTTGTTGATTGTCATAGTGTAAAAACTATGGTCCATTTCTTTATTCATTCTGAAATGTACTCCTATAGAAACTGTGATTTCTCTTATGTATTTTCTTTACCATGATGTTCTCCATATTTAAGCACACTTATTTTACACCTATTTATAATTTTTGATAATTGTCCTCTAGTTATAGTTTGATTCTGAATGAGGGAAAAAATCCCATATCTTCAGACTCTTTTTAAGTCCTCTTATACACAGTGTTACTCTGAGCATAGTCACTCAATAGCTATGTAAATAAGCTAGCCAGTAATAAGAGGACAAATGGGGAGAGAATAAAATTCATACTAGATATTATATACCTAATAAACATAAATACACACCGAACTCATATGCTACATGCAAAAATCAAACTCAAGGAGTTATTGCGATATTGAAGTATTTCAATTTTTTAATTGAATTATTTAAATTTAATATATGCCTTCCTGCTTCACAGGAAGTAAAAGGACTTGGAGAAGACTTGCATTTACTTCTTTACTATAAAGCAAGCGAGGTAAAAGGTGGGATCTTAAGTCTCACACAGTATCACTGATGAACTGAAATGGATGGATTCTTGTTACATATTAGCTGTTTGCAGAATCAGAAAAGTATGAAGCAAATTTAATAACTTGCTGTTTCTGTTAGATGCTATGAACAACCAAATACTTTAAAGGACTTCACTAACTAGCTTCAGTGGAGATGTATTCAACCATTGCTGCAAACAAAATTCAATGTACTCAAACAGCTTTTCTATGAGCTCTCTTCACTGCTTTAGAAAAGACATCACTTCTAAGTATAAAAAAATTATACCTGAATCATGCTAACACTAAAAGCACACAAATAATTTTCCCACTCAGCAGGACAGTGAGTAATGGCCATTAAAACATGCTACCACATACCTGGGATGAAAAAGTACACACTAGGAAGTCAGCCTGGGAGAGAAAGTGTATATCCAGGATCACACCCCGAAGTGAGTTTTCTGTGTATCGATTGTGTAGTCCAGCTGACCAAGAAATAGAGTTATCACTAATAAATTCATAATTGGAGTACCTGAAAAAGGAGAGAGATTTGATGACTAAATTTGCAGTATTTTACAGAACAGATCACTTCTTTAATCAAAAGCTCCCTTTCTAACAGTGAGAACTTGAGAGTATTTAATAGAGTAGCTGAAGCATCGAGCAAGTGAACAATGGTAAAGGAGCTCGTTCAGAATATCTGCCATATTAAATGTTATTGAAGCCAGGTGTGTGTGTTTCCGTAACACAAATATTCAGCTGGCTGAGACAGGAGGTCTATGAGTTCAAGGCTGGAAGGCTGGCCTGGGCTACACAGCAGAATCATATATTCACATATATATATATATATATATATATATATATATATATATATATATATATATATATATATATATATAATCTTAAACACACACATACATCATCCTGACCTTTAGTAATTCATGACAGAGCATAAAACTTAAGGCTTCTTATTCTCTTTGTAATGAGCACCCTTCTAAGAGTTTATCCAAGCTTTTTCCATCTTTGACTGGAGCTGTTTTAAAAACACACCACGACAGACTTTCATTTAAAGATTTAGTTTATAATTGTGACAGATCAGATTGGAGTAAAAGTATAAATGTCTTAATTTTACAAATAATATAAATAAATTTAAAAATTAATAGTTAAAACCTTTGTGACAACCAAGTCTTCAATTCTCATCCTTTTTGAGGATCCATCTATCCACTCTTAGCCATAACAGAAATAGAAAAGGCACTCTACTGGATTCAGGAAAGCAAGCTCCTTGTGGATGTATGTCTGCCAACTAATATGTGCTTTAAATTATCAAAACTGGTTGTCTTGGAAAAGTCTACCACTTGTTCAAATGATTTTGCTCTGAATTAAAAATCACTGTATTGGTGTGTGAATAGGTCTTTAGACTGAGATTGAAAAACATCTTGGGCACCTTATTGAGAAGGGAGTAACATACATACTTCTTTTATATAATTTCATTAGAATTAACATATAGACAGAATGTTTACAAACATACCTCACATGTAGCAAATGTTCAACAAACATTAGCTGTAATAAGCATCTGTCTAATTTTAATCTTTATAGTCCTCTAAATCTCCACTCAGAATCATCTTTTCAGTGAGGATTTTAAATTCTTACTCTTTCTACCTGCATTGTTTTTGGTCATGGTTCATCTTGTTATGTGATACATATTTACTCTCTTGTTTAAAGCTTTATCCCTATCCTGTTTCCATCATCCCTAACTGGAATCTAAGCTCTATTAAATCCAAGTGATCATCTGCGGTGTTCACTTTAACACTCTCAATACCTACGGGAATCAGGAACACAATACAAGGATAAATGAGTATTAGCCTGAGATAATAATGCTTCTTACTTATAAATTCTGAAAACATTAGGAATCAATTTATATTCTGTACTCCCCAGGGCAGGCTCATGTCTTAGTTTTCCTCACATGACAGGACCTAGCACCCACACAGTGCTGTGACTAAAGACATGCCCAAGTGAGTGCTACCTTTGTCTACAACTTCATAATCCCTGACCAGATGCTTCAGATGTCTTATCATTCCATGGCCACTAAGAAGCTTCCTTCATTGCCTCTGATAAAACGGCAGTGAAGGCAAGTACCTGCACCCTTCACACTGGCATGCAGTGATTGCAACCTAGTAGGCCTTGATTGATTGACTGATTAATTATTGATTCATTGCTTTTAACATTTGCCTTTTTCAGATCGACATCAGCAAGATGAAGAAAATATCTCACTGTTCTAAAAAGAAAACCTGAAATATTTTTAGTGTACTGTCCATGAAGCTACATATCCAGGAATGAGGCAAACACAGTAACAAATATATCCGCAAATGTTAAGTGTGGCAGAGAATAGGAACCAGCATAACTGTTTGGTTTTACCCTCGAATAAAGCTAATCTCGTTAGCATACATTGGGAATTCAGTGAAACTAATAAAGGAGTGACCTGTTTTCTAAGAAATGACACCAGCTCTCAAAGCTCTCCTAGCGAAAAGGCCTTGCTACAGAACTAGACAGGAATGATGATCCTCACGCCTTTCTCCATATGTGAAAGACAGTTTCATGAAGGAGACTGTGAGGAGGAAAAAACAAAAACTAAAGCAAACAATGGGACAAGAACGGAAGTGTCTTGTGCTTTGCCCTGAGCTGTGTAAGCAGAGGGCTTCTTTTACATTGAAATTTCAGAGATTGATAATATTTTTCTTTTACTATCTTATAAAAACTTATCTTTATACAACCCACAAAAGACTAACTGGATTGCAGTTGTAAACTAATACTGAACTTCAGTCTGCAGAAGGAAAGAGATACTTGTCTTTGTGAGTTCACTGTGTCTGGTATACAACTCCTTCAGGACACTTCTTTATGTTGTAGTTATTTATCCTATGTATACACTGTCTACCAGTTGAATATTCTCTGAGATAAGGAGCCACCTATTATCTTTTATTTGCCTTTGAATTCTAAGTGCTCTGTGCCATAACTTGTATCTTAAAGGAGTTGGAAAAAAAAAATCACTCGTTGCTGATTCTTCATTTCACAGAACAGCTATGCTATGTCCAAACATTTTTTTCCCTCTATTAATTTCAAGGAACCTAATGTTAGGAAAATGCCATTTAGTATGTTTGATAAATAACAAACTAAATATGTAATTTAGAATTTTGGGGGGGGGGTTCTTTTAAAGAATTGTCTCATCAGGTTTGCTTTGAACTATGTAGTTTACCCTTTGCCTCAGTGCTCCCATTTGGGAGCTTTATCTTCCAATTTCACCCTTACCCTGAATCTTCTCTACCTTAGAAAACAATATTTTGACTGACAAATATAGCAGTTCTTAGCTCTGACTGCCAGTGATTCTGTGGTTTTAAATTCTCACTGTAAATTTCTTAAGAGAGATACTGATGGTACCTCAGCAATGGCTGCTGCAGTTACTGGAGAGCCAGCGCTACTACCTTTGGATGAGCTCCAACCGGCCAAAAGAAACCCGAAGTGTGAAGACAAGTGACAATGAATCAATTGCATGTTTGCACATAGAACTAGATGGATGTTTATCTTGATGCCCTTTTCAGATAAACTACTTAGAAAATGTCTTTTCCTCCGCTGTGTGAAGCCTATGAATCATTTAAATTTAATTTTTCATTTAGCCCTTCTTACATTACATTCTTACAATATTAACTTGGACATGATAATACCTATTGCAGGATAAATGAATGCTTCTGGTTGCTTATAAAGAACAGCAGAGGTTTTATAATTTGCTTAGGTAGCCAAATCCATCACAAAAGGTCTAAAGAGGGTTAATCCAGAGTGGAAAATGTTTAAGTAAAAGAATGAAGAGAGATGACAGATAAAATTCCTGATTAATATATTAGAAATGACTTGGGGAATAAAAATGAACGGATTTCCAAAGAGGAAAAATATGCATAAAGTGTTACCAGTAAATTTACAGTAGAAAACTGCTTCCTAGACCACTACAGGTAGGGACTATAGGGGAAATTCAGGTTTTACTATTTCCACAGTAAAGGAAATATTGCCAACTGTACTATAATGGTTGCTCAGCATAAAATGTCATGTGTGAGACAGGATCAATGCTGTGAAATGTTTATATCCTTTTATCTAAGTAGTTCAAAGTCTGGAAACCTAGCTTGAGAAAATAATGTAGGTAATTTAGACATACTTCTTGTTGTTATTTATAAGAGTAGAGCATTGAAAATATCCTAACTATTCAGTATTAGGAAAATACTCGCTCAAGTCATCACAGCAGGTTCACACATTGGGTATACAGTCATAGCTATGCTTATATATCACCATCAAAAGACTGAAATAAAGACATGGGGAAAGATGTTCTAAGCAAAAGGAGACCTAAAAAAGGCACCTATACTTCTATCAGCTTAGACTGCAAGAGAAACAGTTAAACATAACATAAAATGATATTAATTCTCAAGAGGTTATAAGAATTATAAAGCTGCCATGTACCTATAATGTGAATTCAAGACTAGTATGGGCTACATAGTAAATTATTATCTCAACAAAACCAAACCAAATAATAATTATCAATTATAAATATTAGATCAAAGAAATAAACAAAGCATCAAAGATTAGAGGGAGAGATAGCCACAATACAATAATAACAGGAGATGTCATGACCCTCATTGAACCTTGGCAAGTTCCAGACAAATCAAGTTAGAAAAGAAGAAATAGGAGGGCTAGAGAGATTACTCCGCTGTTAAAAGCACTTGCTGCTCTTCCATAGGACCGTATAGTTCCTACACCCACAATGGCTTGACTCAAAACTGCCTGTAACTCCAGAATCTAACACATTCTTTGAGACTCTGTGGGAACACACACGTTACACACATGGACTTGGACTGTGCTTCATTCTAAATTGATCTAGTATGTTTAATGTCTTATGTTCAAAAGCAACAGAATAAGTATTCTTCTCAAATGCACACAAAACATTATTCTGAACAGAGTCTAAGTAGGGCATAAAACAAGTAAAAAAATTTAAGATTTTTTTTCTGTTCACAATAGTATTTAATAGAAATGAGTCACAGAAGCAGTCTTAGAAAACTCACAGGTATGTAAAAATTAAACATAATACTATTGAAATAATAGGTAAAAGAAGAAGCCAAAATATCTTGAAGCAAACATGGGAATCCATTAGGGCAAAATGACCAGACGTAGCCAAAGCAGTCCTGAGAGGGAGGTTCACAGCAATAAATCACAGCAATAAACCACATCAACAAAGAGGAAAGCTCTCAAAAAGACAAGCTCGTTTTGTGGTTCAAGAAATGAAAATCAGAACAAACCAAGAAAAACTAAGATAGAGGAAACAACTAGGACTAAGACATAAATAAAACATATATTTAGAAAAATGAGTGAAAGATCATGTTAAAGTTTGAGTTTTTGAGAAGATAAAATCAACAAACCTTTCAGACTCATGAAGAAACAAAAGGAAATTCAAGCAAATTCAGAAAGGATGAGGAAACATAAAACTGGCCAGTGAGGCTTCTC